TAAACATCTACTGAATACCTAATATGTGCCCAACATTGTGTTAAATATGTGATTTGTATGTATCCTTACCATGTGGCAAGTGTCGCCATTTTAATGACGAGGCAAAAAGCTCAGACCAACTGAGTCATTACCAAAGGCTACATGGCTAACAAGTGTCAGTGCTGGGATACAGACACAATGTATTTCCCAAGTCCATATTTACTTCACTCTACTTTATTGCAGCACTAAACTTGAGTGTTAGGATTAAATAAAACAAATGTCTAACTAAGATTCTAGGAGAAAAAGTTGTATTTGTTGTATTAGAAATAAACATCAAAGTGCAATCTCTGGTAAGGTGTTTGTAAAGGCTGTTTGAGTCTAGTGATTATATCCAGCGAGAAAGGAAGAGGGGGGGAAAGGCACCTGGGAAAATCATAATGAAAAATAATAATATCTTATGAGAAAAATCCCAGGAGATCCAACTATTGATGTTATTTCAACCATTTGCCATGATTCTAAATGTCTATGTCATGTAGCACATGTATATTTTGGGGGAACTGGGACAAATTTAGGTCGTGTTCCTTGAAGCTGTTGTGTGGAATGAAGTCACTATTGGTGGACCTCCTGAATACCCAGCACCTATATCTAACCCTCATTTTTGCACTCTGTTGCTTTCATGGTAACTCTCATCATGTCTTAAGGAGATATTTTAAAGTAATATAATTTGATCTTTATGTGTTTTATTGAAAGACATATAGGATAGTCATTGAAAGCAGATTCGATAATCAGTTCCCCTGAATTCAAATCCTATCTCCAATACTTAAAAGCTATTGAACTTGATAAAATATAAATTTAACGTCTTTGTTCCTCATTTTCCTCATCTGTGTGATGAGGATAATAATAATTCAAAAATCATAGGGTCATGATAATGATCAAATTAGTTTGTGTAGAAAATGCTGCCTAGCACATAGTAAATGCTAAATGTGTTAACTATTATGTAACAAAATATATGCTATCATTGTTTTCATCTATTAAGCTTTTCACAATGTCATGGCATTTATATATAAATATCAAAGGAAAAGAGAATTAAAGGGAATATTCTGGTCTTGAAATGAGAGATAATATGTTATCAAAGATTTAGGGACTACAAAAGATGTAATTAACCTTTTTGTTTTATTTTTAATTAGTAGCAGAAAATACCAATTATTTCAAAATTATTCTCAAGCCCTAAAAGACAAAGTCGGTCCATGAAACTATTTGATATTTTCTAATATTAAAGCAATTTTCCAGTTGGTTGAGTTGTTACTGAGCAGCTGTATCATCTTGTTATTACTTATGCTAATTAAGAGAAAGAAGGGAGGAGTGGATGCCAGAAATGGGGTGAGCACAGGGAAAGAAATGAGAATCAAGATTGGGGCAGTGTCAAACATAACTCAAAGGTGTATGTTGCACAAATAACGTTTCAACCGCTTTCACTTGCATTTATAAAGTTTTCGATGGCATGAACATCACAGGGCGATTGCAGCCCTTCCCATTATACCTTCTAACCTATAATTTAATGATTAATTGGCCAACTCTAGTCCAGAGTTTCATCTGCCCTCCTTCTGGGGGAAATATATTATTAAGGATTTCTGGCCTCTGGTTCCTTTAAAATATTTCCAAAGTCTACCCCCTCCTCTTCTGGGTATCTTTCTCTGTAGGATCCAGGCTCAATGATTTAAGACACAATTTGCTGACAGGAGATCCTGAGAACCCATTATGAAAATGAAGGCAGCAAACAACCTTTGAATGTATTTCCCGATTTTAAAAAGCCTTCATTACATAGCACATTTCAGGCTGAGGATGTTAAAAAATTTATCACAGTTTCAGTAATTGCAGCTTCCTCTGGAAGCCCGGCATGATGTGGAATCATTTGTAAAATGTGAATTTTGTTTGGCGTTCAGTAGGAAGCTTGCCAGGCAATACATTTAATTAGGAACACGGGGAAGGGAATAATTGCAGTCTGTCATAATGTATTATCATTACTTTTAAGTTCTCCACGTGTTTAGGACAGTGGTCTCATAACAAGGTGTGTATTTAAAGCTAGAAGTAATTTCCCTCTCCTTGGGCTAGCGATTTTATATGGGAAGATGTATTATTTTGAGTGGGAAGGTACATTAGCCTCATTCCTTAGATATAACTCTTTGTCCATTGTTCAAACTCAGAGTGTTAGCTGCTGTCCTTAGAAACAGCCTTTGTCCATTGTGTTAAGGCCTCTGGACGCTGATGCATTGCCCTTTCGGGAGCTGAGACAGCTTTATTGAAGTTTAACTTTCTCTGGAGATGCATCGAAATAATGAAATGCAATGCCTCTCTTGAGCATAACCATGTACATAACATCTAGCCCCGCCTGATACATAAATTTGATAAGAACAACTCAAATACTGAATTGATTAATGTTGATGTTTTTAAAAATGACAAAGCAACATGTGTCAGCAGACTCAAAAAGAAGTATGATGATGACCATCTTCGGAGGCCAGGTTTCCCTTGTGCTAGACATGATGTTCCATTTTATAGGGAAACTTGCTTATAATGAATTTGAGAGGCACCGCAGAAAAAGTGCAATGAATGGGCCTACTTGGCACATGCGTTTTGGCATTCAGTTTTCAAGTAGAGGATACTCTGATCATTTATCTTTGCATGAATCCCTTCTGTTAGTCATAGTCTCCTTAGTGAATGAAGAATTTCCTCTAATAACAAGTCATTGGATTTAACATTAGGGCATCTGCCCTCAGAACCAGTCTAAGGTGTAAATTAGACATGAACAAAGATTGTTTCATTCTCTTTTAATTATGCTACGTTTTAGCCTCTCAAAATCTTCCTTTTCTCACTCTGATCAGTTTACTACTCCTGCCCACCTCATCACTCTCCCTTCACCCATAAAAGCATCAAAACAACCCTACATGATAAAAGCCTAATATACTAAGTGTCCAGTAGCCTAGTCATCTGTTCAACCAATCAAAGCGTAATATGCTAAGGATATGCTAAGGCTGCTCAACTGCTCACTATGACATGCACTGACCACCAGGGGGCAGATAGTCAACTGATCGACCAGTTGCTATGACATGCACTGACTACCAGGGGGCAGATGCTCTGACCAATAGGTTAGCTTGCTGCTGGGTTTCCGGCCGATCAGGACTGAGCGAGATGGGCTGGACATGCCCTGGAGCCTCCTGTGGGTCCTCCCCAGCTGGCCAACCTCCCGTGTCCCTCCCTGGCCCCAATCATGCACCAGTGGGGTCCCTTAACCTGGCCTGCGCCCTCTCGCAATCCGAGATCCCTTGGGGAATGTTGGAGAGCTGCTTTCAGCCTTATTCCTCTCAACACAGGAGCTGCCACCTGGTGACCAGTGCACTCTCACAAGGGAAGCACTGCTCAGCCAGAAGCCAGGCTCACAGCTGGTGAGCTCAGCGGCGGTAGTGGGAGCCTCTCCTCTCTGTGGCAGCGCTATGGATGTCTGACTGCCCTTGGGGGAGTGAACCTAAGCCGTCAGTCGGACATCCCCTGAGGGCTCCCAGACTGTGAGAGGGAGCAGGCCATGCTGAGGGACCCTCCCCGAGTGCACAAATTTCATGCACTGGGCCTCTACTTATGTTATAATATATAGATGGTGTATTATAAAACTAGAGGCCCGATGCATGATAATTTGTGCAAGAGTAGGCCTTCCTTCTCCCAGCTGCCAGCACCGGCTTCCCTCTGGCACCCGGGACCCAGGCTGCTGGCACCAGCTTCCCTCTGGCACCCAGGACCTGGGCTGGTTTCCCTCTGGCCCTGGCTTCATCAGGAAGGATGTCCAAAATGACGTCCGGAAGACGTCCAGACTAATTAACATATTACCCTTTTATTATCTAGATTATACATTTGAAACCTATATAATTTAATTAACCATTGTCACCCCAATAAATTTAATAAAAATTTATAAAAGCAATTATGATAGCATTTCCTTCAGGGTCCCATTCTCTGAAAAATAAGGAATAGAACCCAAATAGTTAGAACAGCCAGTATTTGACACTCAGTAGAGGATTAGCAATTGGACATAAGGAAGTAAGGAAAGAGGAGTGGTTTTAGGTAGATGGACAGTTACATTCGTTCAGGCAATCATTCATCTGTTTCTGAGAAAAGAGAAATCAGAAAAATATCTCCTTATCTCATCCCTCTACAAAAATGTAGGCAGTGCACTTCTTTCTTCTTAACCACCGTGTAAAAGCCCTAAATGGACACAATTTTGATTCAGTGGCATTAGAAATCAAGATTATTTTAAAGTAACAACCACAACAATAATAACTTGTACTATTAAATGCTTACTTTGTTTAAAGCAATGTTCTGAGCACTTTGTAGAAATAAAAGCATGATTCTATATAGTAGATGCTTCTATTACCACCAAAGAAACTGAGGCACAAGTTGGGTATTTATCTTGATTTCCTTAGACAAATAGTAAGAAGTGATCTGATTTTGGTTAAAAGTACAAGATAGTATGACTTCAGGTTCATACTCAATGGTTATTACTATGAATTAATTGTGGAGGAGAAATAATGTAATTAAAAACAAAATGCAATTAACCAAAATACTGTTAAAAAAAAGAATTAGAAAGAACAAGACTAAAAGTCTGATCAAAATTGCTATTGGACATATATCAAATTTTAAATCTCACGTTTCCTCCTAGAATTAGAAAAATGTGTTTGCCTTGAGGTATCTACATTTTCTAAGAGTATTTTTAGACTGAGGTTTATTATAAGAAATACCTGGGAATAAAGATTGAAAGTAATCCATCTCGTTGGCAGTCTTTCTTGCATCTTAATACAATAGGCCTTTATTTTATTTTGTCTTACTTAATACTGAAGTCTAATTGAGACCTATCTAAAACTGAAGTATATAAAGCTAATAGCCAGTACTTTGGGGTGCAAATCTGTGTGTTTATGGGATGCGTGTATGTGTATATTAGCATGAACCACTTCAACTAACATGTATTCTTTTACTTTAAGGGGCAAAGGACCACTAAAGCACACGACTGATGTGATCTATGCAGCTAAAATGATATCAGAATCAGGATCAAGGATGGATGTCCTTGCTCGACAGATCGCCAACCAGGTGAATTTTCTACAAGTGCATGTGGTGAAAGTCTAGAAATTGTTTTCTGCCATGTCAATGTTAATTTTTAAAAGTTGAAATTTTACTCTATTGGATTATTTTTTATTACTGAATTATTTTTAAATTTTAGTCAGTAATTAATATACAAGTAGTGGACAATTCATTCTAAGGAAGCTTAGTGCATTATTGTTATTATTTAGGACTTGATTATTTCTAAGATTCTGAGTTTCACATATTCAAATTATTTTAAATATCAAATATATTTTTTGAATTTTAAATATATTCCATTGGCTTTAATATCCAATGTTAATATTTTTCTTTAATACCTTATATTTCTTATTTTTCCTCTTCAAAAAGTAATACTTTTCAGAATTCTATTATGTTATACTTTCTGAGTCAACAATATATTCTGGCACCCTATGTAAAATTGTAAGGTAAGTAGTAATTATTAGAGTACTAGTGAAGGTTAAAAATGTACAGGTATATAATGCTTATAGAGACTGATGATTTATATAGTTGGTATTTTTCTTTACGTTTCTCTCATCTGTATTTCCGTTTTCTAGGCAGCATCTACATTATTAGAGTTACCTTTTGCCTAACATGAAAGTTAGGAAAGTCAGTTTTTAGTTATGGTATAGGCATATTTAGTTGATATTTCAAACTGAGATGTAGTATTACTTTGCAGGTTTCATATTATTTCAAATTATTCAATATTTCATATTATGCATTATTCAACTTTATAGTGCATATTTATCTCCCTTTGGGGGAAAGGGGCACTATTATTTTTGACTTTGTAACTATTCCATATTATTTATAGCTTATATACTTTTATTGGGATGCTTATTATTATTTACTCTTTTTATCATCTATTTCTTAAAACATGAAGAATTTTCTCTTATTAGATGTTGTATTTGTGGATATAAGGAGAAATAAATAAGAAATAATAACAAATAGTTTTAAACATTCTTGAGTATATATATATATACACACACACACACACACACACACACACACACACACACACACACACATATTCAGTGTCTAGCTACTTTAAGCATTATAAATATTTTCTTAATTTTTTAGTATTTAGTATTTATGGTTAAAAATAAACTCTATGCTAATATGTGACCAAATGACTGAGTCCAAAATTTCTGGTTTTCTATATTATGTCCAATCCAAGTTGAAACTGAAAATGAATTGAAAACAATTCTTAAACTCAAGATAATTTTAGTCTGTGCACTAAAAAATGTCAGACCATAGTTTTCCAAATATAACTCTCACAAGTCAGCAGTCAGTGTAGACCATATGAGTCTGTTGTCCTTTATCTCTGACATAATAAAAGAGCTCCACTGTATTTTTTTTCTTCACCTGAGGATATGTTTATATTGATTTTAGGGACAAAGGGAGAGAAAGAGAGAAACATTGATTGTGGGAACTAAACCTACAACCTAAGTATGTGCCCTGACCTGGAATCAGTCTTCTGGTACATGGGACAATGCTCCAGCCAACTGAGCCACCCAGCCAGAGCAAGTCCCACTGTTCGTTTTAGCTATACCTTCCATAGATACGCTTTTCTTCTGTGTTTTAGAAACCTCAGTTTGCTAAAGTGCAGCAAAGAGAGACATAGCAAAGAAGGAAAATGTTCAAATGTTCAAATCTGTGAGATTTCTACATGTAAAATCATCTCAAATTGATGACTAACCAAATTTGATAGAGTGAGGAAAAGCCCTCTTTATTGAGATAGTAAATTGAATAGAAAAATAGTTTTATCATAGGCAAGATGAATTATGAGATAGTTGAGGGTTCTATGTGTTGGATATGAAATGTTGATAAGACAATAAAATGAATAAATGCAATAGGTATATGGAACTTCTGAAGACAGAACTGGATGATTGATAATTATTATTATTATTTTTTATTTTGTAAGTGATAGATGAAGCCAGGACAGTGTATACTGTTATCCAGGAAGAGGGTAAGAGTGAAATGATACCCAAGAACAAAAACTGAGAACACCAAAAGGGCAGCATTGAAAATTGTTAGAAGGCATGTTCCCGAATAACAAGAGAGGGAGATGGTGTTACAGGGTTGTAGAAGGGTTATTGTTTTCAGGGATTTTATGTTGATAGATTCAAGGGTGAAAACATTAAAAGTGCAGAAATAAATGGGACAATTGATGCTATGTGACCCTGAGGAAGGTTCAATCAGCTATGATATAGTGGTGCTGGTCCGATAGACAGCCTCTGGGCTGGAGCACTGGTAGGGAAATGAGTCCATCCTGGGGAGGGAAAGGTCCTGGACACACTGTTCTTGTTATCACTGGTTACTCAAAATTTCTATTCTAGCAGTTCACAGTGACAAATGACACCTCATACTTTTTGTTAGCAAACTTTGCCAGTTTAGCAGAAATTAAACTGTTGTCTGTAATTGCAAAAGTCCTTGTAAGTGTTTTTAAAATAAAGTTTATATTCCATTGTGGCAAAAAATAGCTGAGCTTTAGAATAAAGGTCTTTAAAGTATTCACTTTTCTAATTCACTCTTAAAATTCAAACTGAAAGGTGATAAATGTGTTTTACTTTTCTTCTCACTCCTAAATGAAGTATTCTGCATTGGGACCAAGCATCTTGCTAGAAGAGTGAAAGCTGGTTTAGCATGAGAAAACCACTTAGGCTGGCATGCCATCTGCTTGCCTGTAGTGAGAGTCTTAGTAGTTATAAATTTAGAAAAAATATATATCCATGCATTAAAAAGCTAACCAGATGTCCTGGTCAACATCTCCTATCTTAATAAACTGGGAAATAGCCAAACTGTTATGGTAGTCTACCGCTGGATTTGTCTTGAAATCCTGAGCAGAGTTCCTTTAAAAGTTATTTTATGAAAATTTTATTTTTTTAAAAGTCAAGGCCAAGAATGTTTTACAAATATAAGGCTCAAACTTTTTTTTTATCACCATCATATAAAAAAAATTAGGGGAAAGATTATTTGACTTTAATAAAGGAGGTTTGACAAATAGGAACATTTTTAAAAATATTTTTTTAATTTTTCAATTATAGTTGACATACAATAGTATATTAGTTCTAGGTGTACATCATAATTACACATTTATATAACTTATATGAGGAGGTCACCCTGATAAGCCTAGTACCCACCTGACATCATACATAATTACAATATTATTGACTGTATTCCCTGTGCTGTTTACATCCCCGTGGCTGGCAATTTGCACATCTAATCCCTTCGCCTTTTTCATCCGTGGTCCCAACTCCCCTCCCTCCTGAAAACCATCAGTTTGTTCTCTGTATCTTTGAGTTTTACTTTTTGCTTTTTTCTTTTTTTTAGATTCCACATATAAGTGCAATCATATGGTATTTGTCTTTGCCTGACTTATTTCACTTAGCATAATACTCTCTAAGTTGATATATATTGTTGCACATGGAGAGGTTTTGTTCTTTTTTATGGCTGAGTAATATCCCATTGTGTACATACCATCTCTTTTATATCCATTAGAGGAGCATTCTTAGAGTGGGAATGATTCATTCTCCTGATTCTGCTTTTAGGTGGTCAAAACCAATCAGAAAAGCTTTCCAAATGTCAATAGGAAGAAGGCTGTAATAAATTTTGCATTATAGAATTGACCAATTAGTATGCTTTTAGTCCTTCAGTTATAAATCTGACTAGCATTGTTAGGTGTAAGCAAGATTTTCATTAATTCTGGAAGTAAAGGGTAAAGCTAGCTCAGGCAACTTTTAATTTCAAAAGTTCAACTTCACATTTTCTGCTCATTTGAATCTTTCTTAACAGAATTCTAAACTCTTTGAGTGCGGCTTTGAAAGAATCCCTTGAGAGAGATTGTATGTTTTTCTTGGTGGTGGCAACATTGGTAATTGGTTAAGGGTCTAATTATTAATTTGCAAGTTCAATTTTATCATCTGTGATATAGTGGTGCTGGTCTTTAAGAAAAAAATCCTATAGATAAGAGTGTCCATTTAAGAATCAATTTACAAATCAGGGTGGCAATTTACTGTTTACTATCCTATATAATAAAAGAGTAATATGCAAATCAACTGAATGGAGGAACAACAGGTCAGCGGGGGGTGGAGCCAGTGCAGTCCCCTGATTGGCCCACCTGGTCACCTCCCGCAGGCAAGGACTCCCGGACTGTGAGAGGGCGCAGGCTGGGCTGAGTGCACGAATTTTCGTGCACCAGGCCTCTAGTGAAAGATAAAACTGGTAAGAAGACTAATACTGTTCCTAGATTATAGACATAGGTAAGTATAGCCAGATGATGTCAGTTTGAATACCAGCTCTACCATTTATTAATTGAGCAATCAATTAATATATCTGTGCCTCAGTTTCCTTCTTTGCTAAGTGGGGATAATGAGAGACCGTACCTCATGTAGTTGTGTGATTATTAAAAATAGTTAGTATAGTCAAAGTACCTGTAACAGTATATGGCAAATAAAACACTACATGTCAGAGATTATCATTGAGTTCATCCATAAGAACAAAAAATAGATAAGGCTGTTACTCAATGAAAACAAAGAAAATGGTGTTTTCAATGAATGTCATGTAGAAGAAATTTAATGCAGGGAATGAAATAGAATACAAAATTCAAATTAGTTTGCAAATGTGCAGAATGACAATAATTAGATCTGAGAATACACCATATTCTCAAGATCCACCCATGTTGCCTCAAATGGCAGTATTTAATATTTTCTTATGATTGAGTAGTATTCCATTGTAAATATGTACCACATCTTCTTTATCCAGTCATGATAAGCAAAATAAGTTAGACAGAAAAAGTCAAGAACCATATGATTTCACTCAGATGTGGGATATAAAAAACTGAAAGCAACAAGAACAAATAAGGAAAACAAAGAAACAAAAATTCATAGACACAGACAACAGTATGCTGGTTATCAAAGGGACTAGGGCTGAGAGGAACTACAGAGTAAAGGGAGTCAAATATATGATGGCAGAAGAGGATCTGAATTTTGGTGATGGGTACACAATGCAATATATAAGTGATGTATCATAGAATTGTACACTTGCAACCTATCCTCCTCTTCTTCCTCCTCCCCTTCATATCTCTCTCTTTTTCTGTCTCTGTCTCTCACTTTTTCTTGTCCCTTTCCTTAATTAGTTATAATTTAACCCTTTCTGTGAGATTTGGGGGATTACTCTTACTTCCTCATTTAAAATTTTAAAAACACAGTTAAAGTCAAAATCTCTCTAATCTTGTCTGATGGTAGCCCTGGCTGGTTAACATGTGTTTCATATGTTCATGCCTATCTAGCAGATGGATAGTATTTATGCAGAAGAGTTTATTTCTTTGCTACATTTGTTGATTAACTTTTATTCAAGGTTCCCATGTTTTCATCTTGTCCACACATTCCGGATCTATGTAGAGTAGTCTATTCAGCAAATATAAAAGGGATTCACAGGTATTTTCCAGCAGCACTCCAGCTTATTGATTACTAGGTAAAAGCAGAAATTCCAGGAAGGCTTTCTGATTTTTTATCCTATCTTATATTTTACTAGAGGCTCGGTGAATGAAATTCATGCATGGGTAGGGTCCCTAGGCTTGGCCGGCGATCAGGGCCAATCTGTGGGGTGACCGGCAGGGTAATCAGGGGGCCCCTGCTGGCACCCACCTTGGCTGACCTGGGACCTGCGGGATGGGGGCAGCTCCTGCATGGAGTGTCTGCCCCCTGGTGGTCAGTGCATATCATAGCGACCAGTCATTCCACCAGTTATTCTGCTGTTCAGTCAATTTGCATAGTAGGCTTTTATTGTATAGGATTTTGCATTTTAGTTTATCGTAGTATATACTTTAAACATAATGCAACCATTTTGTTTTATACCATTTAATTAAACAACATATTATATTTTAAATACTGTTTTTTTCACTTTCCCAAAACATTTTCCACATCCTTTGAAAATATTATTTTCTTGTAGACTATGTAATATCACATTATATGAAGAGCATTCGCCTTTAATCTTTCCACTCTTTTAGGACATTTAAGTTATTTTCAAATTTTGCTATTATAAGTAATGCTGCAATGAATATCTTTACATAAAATTACTCTCCATATTTCAGCATCCTTATGAAAATGCATTTGAATTAGAATTAAGTTATTGGGAATTTTAAAAACCTATTTTAATTACATAGAAGAAAGAACACAAAGATTAAACACGGACCATAGATATTTATGTTATGATGAAGCTCAAAGCTGTACTCCAGATAGTTCCTTACAGAAGTGAATATAACATAGGTAAAGAAATTTAGCACATCTATAAAACATGGATGCATGCCTTCTGTTTCTTAGCTCCAGGTAGATCCACAGCTGTTATCTAAGGTGGAATGATTTCTTTTGCTTGTAATAGCTAAGAGCATTAAATGCTGAAATTAAGAGAACATAATATATAGTTTGTTGCAGATGATTTTTTATGCTCATGTAAATAACAAAGCAAAGACAATGCAGAATTATGAGTTCAGAAGAGTGTTCTAATTGCAAGTCTAGGTTAAAGGAATAATTGCATTTATCTTGGATTTACCTAAAAATATAATCTGAACACTTCTAACCTTATCATAAATTAAATGCATTATTTTATGTACCTCTTCATGTTTGGATATTTCTGTAATCTTTCTTTTGTCTGTGCTGAAGTAATTAAGGTCAAAACATGAATAAACTCCTCTAATGGAGGAAGCATGGCCTTGGTCTGAGAATTGGAGCTCAATGAAAATAAAATTGCTTATAAGTCACCTGAAATGTCAATATTTCCTCACTTTGATCTAGTTATTATTAATTTTTCTATTTCCACTTTTATCTTTTATGCATATTTAGTGTCCAGATCTGTCATGCAAACAGGACTTGTTGGCTTACCTAGAACAGATTAAATTCTACTCTCACCAACTGAAAATCTGCAGCCAAGTTAAAGCTGAGATCCAGAGTCTGGGGGGAGAGCTCATCATGTCAGCCGTGAGTACTGCCCAGAACTAATATCATATTGTAGAAGATGCTTAAAACCTCCTTATTCCACCAAATCTTACATGTCCATGTAGGTTAACAACTCAATTGGAGTGTAAAAAGTTGCATGTAAACTAGCGAGAAATCTTGCCAGATTTCTTAAAGATATGCTACATAGGTACAACTTGTTTTTATTTACTTCAGAGATACTAGAATGAATCAGGTTTTATAAGACACTTGGGTGAGAAATAATACTTAGAGCATGATTTTCAGACTTCAGAAAGAGTACAGACGGAACTCTGAATCGAATCCTATAATTTTCATAAAATGAAATTCATATGGCATTGCAAGTTAAAATAATTTTATGATTAATTTATATTCCCACCATAACATAGAAATGCAGGCTTTGAAAAATTTTATTTCCGTATATAATTTTAGAAGTGGAATATGATAGAACATTATAGATTTAGATGAACTTTCATGAATTCTTTGGTGACCCTGAGTTTCAGTCTGCTATAAAATGACCATGCTAGAAATAACATCTAACTTTTCTACTCATTTTCAATAACAGTATATCATTTCTTTAGAGTGGGTACAGTAATAAAATATTTTATATCAGTATTGGATTCAGTTATCAGTGACTTTGAGAAGGACATGGAACAAGATTATAAATTTAAGTTAAAGTGAAACATCAGGAATGTTATGGGAACTTACATTCATGAAGACAAATTTTGTAAAAATGATAACAGTATACTTATAAATTTGAAATGTTTAGGACCTCAATAGCCTGACTTTGGACTCTCCTGCAGTGAGCTAACATTCCTAAAAGAACATAGTTACAAAAATGCAAGCAAAGAATTACCATCAAGACGAGGGGGCAGGGAACTAAGCCTCATAGACTGTTTCTTGCCTTTTATCCCATTTTATCTTCACAATAGCATGCCTCCTAGATTGTTTTTTGGCTTGTTTTGTTTACTCTAATACTTGAAAAAAAAGAAATTTAGAAAGGTTAAATAGCTTCTCAGCGGTCATACTAGTAAATGTCAGAACAATTTACCTTCAAAGACCTATGTCTTCTCTATTCAGATGGGCAACTTTGAATCTATGAGGAAAGTGAGGAGCACAAATCAAAAGTGAATAATTTGGAAATTATGTGTAGTTATTATTAAAGGTAAACAAACAGGTGTTTTTTACATTTATATTTTGCAAAAGAATTTATAAATCAACACAACCTATATAAGATTGGTATCCTTTCAGTTTTCAAAGGAAAGTATATTTTAAATTGTCACAATCTATACACACACAAAATATGTGTATACGAATACATACATGTTTATAGGCATGCACAGATAGACACAGCATGTGTATTTTACATATATGCATTTAAAAATATTGTATTTTTATTCTGTATTTGACATTTAGTCTTCATTTTCTCAACATTATAACACTTTAGGTGTGTAAAAAGTATTTACACCAAAGTCTGCTGTTTACTTTTCATATTTTCACACACTCACCATCATTCACATGGTATAGTCCAGGTAAATTTTATGATTTAATTATATGCAAATTTTTCATGTTGCCTGAAGCTAAGCTTTCAAAAAACTTGATAGAAGTTCAGCCTATAGATTACTGCTGAAATATATTACTATTAATTGTCCCTCCAAAATATAATTTCCATCAAGTATATGAATTGAGTTTGTATTCCTTTCTGTTTGATATGATGATTCAAATTCATGAACTTTACATATTTTACAGAAAGATTGGGCATGAGCCATTTAGAATTCATGATTTACAATTTAAAAGCTGAGTTGTTATATAAAATGAGAAATAGCATTGCAAATCTAAAACTATTTGTCATCGTTTCACCCATAATTTCCCATTAGAAAAAAAATAAATCTCAAAATAGGAGCACGCCCCCTCTTATATGCTTTCCTGCCATCTGCTTGCAGGTCGATCCTGGAAAGCTTTGAAAATACATTTCATTTGTGCGTGCCAAAGCACACTTCTTTCATCTCTCCATGACCCTGGGTTCTAGTCTTTTTCTTTTTCTTTTTTTCCTTTAAATTGAGAAGGTCTTATCTAAGTCACCCTTTTTTTCCCATAAAATCTTCTGAAAAATAACAAGCATGTTTCTAAAGCAAGGAAACTCATTAAAAAGTACAGAAAATTGTACTCAAAACTACAGATGACTCAAAGATCACTAAATAAAGTTTGCATCCCAGAATCAGGTTCATGAAATCCTATTTTTAGAAAATATATTTGGTTAAGAAGAAGTAAGTGGAATGCATTTCTGGAGGTAATGAGTAGACTGATTTCTGGGTCTAGGGTATTAGGATATAGGGTAAAGAAGATGAATTTATAGCAGAAAGAAATTTTAAAACCATTCTCATAATATAAAATGTCATTAAAATTATTTTTCTAATCCTTTTTATATCTGCAAGCACCTATCCTGAAATTACATGTTTTAATTACTAGGAAACCAAAGTGTGATTAGTCCAAAACCCCAGCACCATAGACCATCTGGGGGATGAAACTATGAATAGATGGTACCTCCTTCAAAATACTCAAAGATGCACATATAATACACTCAAATATACAAAAGTGACTCCAAAACAATATAATAAACTATATAACAGTAGTTTACCCAAAAGCACATAGTAAGGCGTGAGGAAATAATTCCATTGATTTGGCAAGTGGGCAAGAGAATGCCACAAAAGAGGCTTGACTAATTAAACTGGACCTTGATTAAAAAGAAATACAGTCAGTCCTCAGGTTACGTCGGACTCGACGTATGTCGTTTCATGGTTACGTCGCCATCTCCCATTTATTTATAAAAAAAAAAAGTTCCGTCATTTCGACGTATGTACATATGTGCTTTATGTTTATTATTATTTATTTACCACAAGTGAAGGTCAGGAATTGTTATCTTTCTTTTAAATTGTTTTTACTGTTTCACTTCATTACTGCTGTGTCTTTGCTCCATGTGAGTGACGTAGGTGCTTATGTAGGTGGGTTCCGACTTAAGGCAAGAATTGTGTTATGTCGCGCAGCAGGAAGGGATCTCTGACGTAACCCGAGGACCTACTGTACTGGGTACTGTTGGTGTGTGTACTGGGAGGGTGGGGAATAGAAGAGAACCTGAAAACAAAATTGGAACTGTTTCAGAAGAACCATTTATAGCATTAATCTGACACTGCAGGCAATTGAGAGGAATGGAAAAAGTTTAAGTTTGAGATGGGCATAAACAGATCCCTCTGTTTAGAAGCTAACTGCTTTTAAAACATGTTCTTAAATTGATTCCAGAGAGAGGAAGAGGGGGGAGGGGGGAGAGAGAGAGAGACAGACAGACAGACATGGATGTGAGAGAGAAACATAAGATTGGTTGCCTCCTGCATGAACCATGACTGGTGTTCAAACCCGCAACTTGTTATGTGCCCCAACCAGGAATCGAACCCAACACCCTTTGGTACAAGGGACTACACTCCAACTAACTGAGCCACACCAGCCAGGGCTGGAAGTTCACTGTTTTTGACAAGGTGGTGAGAGCTAGAAAAGGCAAGGGAGGGATTGGAAGATAGAGGCCTGTTTAGGAATTATTTTTTAAAATAATCTAAGAGTAACAGTGAGGACATAGATTAAGGCAACATTAGTGAGAATGGAGAGCAGTATATTCATGCAGGAAAAATCTTCTGAGGTAGAAGTTATTAGAGTCAATGATCTATTAAATGTTAAGGTTGAAGAAGAAAGAATTGATTTACCCCAAGGTTTTGAGATTTGTAACTTACTCAACAGTGGCATCATTAACCAAAAGCTATATGTAGAAGGAAGAGCAGATTAGGAAATTCATTCAGGTTTTGCTTGTTAAATTTAAGTGATTAAGGGGCATTCTAAGACAAAGGTCTAGGAAAATGGGTATGTGGCTATGAAACTCAGGAGAGAAATATGAAGGAGAAATAGATGGGACCATCCAGTGAAATTAGTGAATAAAACAAAATATAACTCAGAAGGAGATCCAGAAAACTTTTCTACATGCAAGGGATTCTAATGTAGGAGGTACAGTGACTTTGGTTGTGGCAGTTTAAACATATCGGGCGTTTACTATCTCCATAAAAAGTCTGAGAATGGGTAACCCAGGACTGTAATGGCAGCCTCGCAAAGTCATCAGGGAATCGGGCGTTTTTGTCTTTTTGCTTTATTGTCCTTGGTTTCTGGCTTTCATTTCTATCAAAGTCGAAATATGGCTTCTCTAGCTCTGCTATGGTTTTGATATTCCAGACATATTAACAGAAACAAGCATTTCTTACATCTTTTTAAGTTTCTTCCAAGTGATTTTTTTTTGCATATTATCATCTAGAACTTAATTATATAGCTATACTTAACTGCAAGGGATGCTGCAAAATGTAAAATTTGTTTGTGTTTTAATCTGGGCACATTGCTTTCTCCGATTACATCGGTTTTGTTTCTGTGAAGAGAGAATGGATAGCAATTTCTATCGTATCCATCTATGATTACCCAAATCACAGCAGTACTCACATATGTTGTAATTATCTGCTTTTATGCATATTTTCCACTAGACTATATGGTTTCTGGATATTTTTGAGTGATTAAGGCTGATCAACATAAAATTTCTGCATTATTTATAGACATTGGCTGCTGTACCTTCAAAGTGCATATTGGAACTTTATATACTTTTCCAAAACAGTATTAGTAATATGATGTAGGCAAAAATTAGACCATATTGGGCTGAATGCTTATGATGCAGTAACCGAGTAAAGATGGTAAAATAGACTAAATTTTCCAACAGTTTGTAGCTGGAAGGAAGAAGAAATAAAGAGTAAGAGAATGAGGAGAGAGAGGGAGAAAGATATTTAAGGGGTAGATGGAATTACTCAAAGTCTCTTTTCCTTATCTTTCCTTTGTTTTGTTAACATTTTTATTTATGTACTTTTTAACATGGCAGTAATTGAAAAAGTATTAGGTAAAGACCAGAAGAAGCTAGAAAAGAAGAATCT